TAGCTATTCAAGACGGTCCTTGAATTGTCTGATCCACTAAATGGCCAATAAGTCTTTGTAAAGAATTTTTGATGTTGGAGGTTTTAAAAATATAACGAACGTATTCTGGATCAAAAAAAAAAATGGTTTTAAAAACTGTTTACTATCGATACATACGAATATTGGTTCTGATGCAAGGAAGGAAATTTATCTGATTCAGCTTTGTCTGAATTTTTTGAGGGCAGTAAAAATTGTTTTGAATAAGAGTTATGTACCTTTGTAAATTCCTAAGTTTTACCAGGTTGTCATTATCACATAGGAAGAAAATTTGTCACGGGATGTGACTGTTGCTAGGCTTCTGCTATTGTTCAAGGATAAGATTTGTCCAGCAGATGGATTTGGAAACCAGGTGCAAATTATTGATAGTTCGGTCCTTCCATGTAAATGCTGTTTTTTTCATCAAAGCTATATTTATAATCTCAATTTGCCAGTATATCGATGCATAGATCGTTGAAATGTGATAGTTAAAATATTTTGTGCCTTTGCTGATTTTGTTTCACAAATGGCGATGTCCTTGGCATTGAAAATTGATTCAAGATAAAATTTTCCTTCTTGAAAATGCCTTTTTAAAGTTAAATTGATAGAGAAGAAAATCAATCATTTTTCTTGAATAATATAAATTTTTAAATTATCTAAAAATTTTTATTTGTAAACTGCAGTTTTCAATGATTTTTCATCGCCATGGAGACTTAATTTCAGTTTTAAAGTCTGCTTCCCAGGTGGGATATGGTGTTGTTTCTGGCTGCAGACTGGTTAGCCGAAGGTTGGCATTATTTTTTCATTTGATGAATAGTTCTTTTAACTATTGCTGCTTTCATTGCCGATAATTCAAATAGTGAATGAGTAAAATATTTCTGGCCTCTGGTTTTAATCATAATTCAGGTGGTTTTTGAATATACCTGTGCTTTTTAGCCAGGTTATGGTTGATCCAGTGTCCGGATGTTGGGCATTAATTTTCCATAGTAGGCTGGTTTTTAAATGATACACGTTACTATTGGCACCATATGCTGGATCATAATGGTTGATGATGTATAAGATATGATTGCAAATGTATTGTGTATCCTGTAGGAAAGATAATTAATGAAGATGAATTCTATAGTCACATTTTGGTTGTCGACAGATAGGAATATAATGTGTTGTGGCATAGGATAAATTAAATTGATCCAGGTGGTTTGGAGTTACCAGCACATTAACCATTTTTTTCAATGTTTTTTCGACTTGAAACAATGATGTCAAATCAGTTTGCAAAAGGCCATTTGCCGTTGGTTTATTTTTTTACAAACGCAATATTAAAAAAGATGTGTTTCTTGGCTACTCTCTGGGTAACTGAGATAAACTGGTTAGATGCAGGTGAAAAATCAAAAGAAAATTTGGATTTGCCTGAAAAAATATGAAATTGTCCCTGAAGTTGAAGGTAAATGGCCTGAAATTGGGGCACGGTGAACAAGGCATCACATCCATTTTCTGCCCAAGGAAAATCCTGTTCCACATCATTTAAGATTTGCCATTAAATTCATCAAATGACAGAATGAAAAAAGGAAAAAGGTAAGTAGATGAAGTTTGTGGTCCATGAAGGCAGGGGCAACCAAAAAAAAGTTCTTTCATTCTTTTTTATATAACACAGATTGATAAGAAGAAAATATTTTATGGTCCTAAATGTTTCTACTTAATTGGTGATCAATGTCTGCTGTGGGTTTAATTGCCTGTTGGGTCCTTTCCCTGGCAAATCTTTGGTTTAGCTTCTGGTTTTTGTTTTCCACACACTGTCATGAATAAAATTTTCCGAAACAATTTTCCATATTTTCAAATATCTTTGAGCACTTCATTTGTTTTTTACAAACCCAATATATGGTTGTCCATTGTCAGACAATTTTTAAAGATTTGAACCACAAATTTTTACAAAATATTTTTTTTAGCATAGTGCCAATGATGGAAATAAGTCCATCGAAGGAAGTAATCTTTTTGTATTTGTTTTTTTATGTGGGCTGCCACTTTAAAAAGGGTGTTTTTGAGTTGACCCAGTGAGTCTCAACTTAATTTTTTGTTAGTCTCACCGTTCCAGAAACCAAACTGAATGACTGAGGTGTTGGAAGTTAATCATCTGGGTTCATATGGATTGCTAATTTTGAATTCCTTCAATGTTCGAAGGTGGATATGTCTTTTTTTTTGTTTACCTAAAAATGAAAAATAAATTTGGTCCAAATTGTTAATAGCAGAAAGACATTTTCTTAATTCCAGGCTGGGAAAGGTGAAGTTCTGAATTTGGATTGATGCCAGCTGTTTAAATCCGTGGATGAATCTCATCAAAGTGGAATGTCCATTTGAAAAGTTCTATCTAGCTTCAATATGTCGACAGATGTTGGCAACATCATTAAGCTTTGTAATTGCTGTTTGTTTGAATTTGGAAAAACTAAAGTAGTTGATTTTGTGTGCAGTCAGCATGTTGTTTTTGTTTCTTTTGAATTTCTTGTATCAAACACTTTTTTTTCGTTGGTCCCAATTATTTTGAATAGAAAATTTTTTTGATTCCTTGATGAGAAAAAATAGTTGGTAAATGAAAAGAAATACTCATGTAGTTTTTCCATATTTTGTTTGCTGTACCTTCTGACACCAATGTTATAGAAAAGCATATGGTTGCAAGAAACACCTTTTTGTATAGTTCATAATGAAATTATTTTATATTGATCTCAATAGTAGTTCAAAATAATGGTTTGTATACGTAGCGCTACTGATTTTTTAATGACTCTGTTCAGGTCTCTTCCCTATCCTCCTGTTGACTGCTCTTTTACTTTTCATGTGACCCCTTTTATATATTTTTTTGCTCGAAAAATTTTCGTAAGTATAATTAAAGGGGATATTTTTTATTGGTCAAAAAAATAGAAACACTTTAAAATATTATTATTTTTTTTTTATTCCTTCAGAGTGCATGGGATTATTAAGACAAAGATAATGGTCATTTTAAACGGGACCTTGTCCCAATTCACAAGGCTCTCAGTTTCATGAATGTTAGTTTATTTGCCTACAAATCATGTAAAAATATATTTTATTTTATTTTATAACACTACCTTCCAACACTCTATCAACAAAATTTGAAAATTAATTACTTATCCCCAACACTAGGATCTTTACCACTACCAAGACAATCAGGGATATAGTTAGGAAGAAAAATAGATGCAATACTAGAACAGATGCCAGGATTTATGACATAAAATGCCTGTAATGTAGGAAAAGTTATACAGGCAAAACATCTAGGAATGTAAAAGCTTGCATCTACTAACAGAAGAGAGACCTTTGTTAGGACAACCTTTTCAACTTGCCCATAATAATCAGAAACAAAAAGGGGCTTTTTAAAAAAACTTTGATTTTGTAAATGCTGCCCTAATTAGAAAAGAAAATAATTCTTTATGCAGGAAATACTTTAAGGGAGTTCTGATAAATATTTTACCATCTATAAAAAAAACATGTCAAATACACTTTATTATATCACTGACTTTAATAAAATCCATACTTAAAGATTCTAAGACAGGAGTTCGCAACCTTTTGCTGACTATGTGCTGAATAGTTTTAAAATCATTCAGTGTACCAACAGCATACATATTTTTATACAATTCAAGGTCAATATATATGTTCTACAATATATTTTATATAGTAATATATATACAATATGTAAACCACATTAATAGAAATAAACTGTTTTTATTAATAATGGGAGTCCAATGGGTGAGCAGTTTTGAAACAGCTGAATATCTTTGTGTTGTAGTTATTGGTTCGAACTTTGTGATGTCATTTGCTGCTACGTGCCATTAAAAATTGCTTGGCATAGCACACTTGCCAGATCTAGGATATGTCTACCTGCTAACACGAGTGTAACCTAAATTCTTTCACCCTTACACAAAATGTCACCAAATCAAGATGCAGCAAATCATCAAACATGGATAAAGAATGCCTATTAGACAGACACACACACACACACACACACACAACAATAATAATACCAATAACAGCAGCAACAACAATAATAATAATAATAATAATACCAACAATAACAGCACCACCACCACAACCAGCAATAATAATGAGGATACCACCACCAACAACAGCAACAATAATACTAATAAAAAAGTAAAATATGTTATCGTTGACAATACAGATAAACTAGTTTTGACTATTTTCATCTTCTGTTGGTTTTTGTCTCAATATTTTTTTTAGATGCCTGTTTTCTTCGTTAGTTCATTTAGGAATTTAGAAGAAAGAAATAGCTTCAAGTAAGGCTTGAACTACTATCTTGTCATGTGATACTGATTTTTAAAATTCATTCAAACTTATGCTAAAAATATGTAAGAATTTGAGAACAAAAGTATGACTTATAATTTAACTGGTCGGATCAAAAAAAATTTAAAATCAACGAAAAGATAAAAAAAAAAAATGACTTAAAAATAATATAATAATGAAAATACTGCCCCCCCCCATTAAATCTTAGTTGTTTTTGTTTTTTTATTTGACGTATTGTATACTGACAGGTTTTGTGTTGTTGTGTTCTGTTCCAGGGAGCTGGTACCACCACAAATGACCTTCAGGAGGAAGGTGGAACATTGCTACAACAGCCACTGGCTATGGGATACTATGTGTCTACAGCTAGTACTGGACCACTGCCCAAGTGGTTCTGGTCATCGTGTCCAGAAGCTGAAAATGTCTGCCCAAATATATTAAAAGTAAGTCAAATAGTAAATTAATCGAAAAAAATCTTTTTAGAATTTTCTCATAATTTGATAAATTAGGAGGTTGGTTATTTTCTCTTGAGCAGAACTTCCTTCCCCTTCTTTTTAATTCGGCTTTTTCTTCTCAGCTGGATAATCCTTGAATTTCTATTGACAAAACTATAAATGTCAGAAAAAATCACTTTTGTTTATAATTTATCCCTTTTTCTTTTTTAATATCCAGGCTGCTCTTCATACTCATAGCTCGTCTAAACAAGATGACCCCTTGCCTCTTCAGTCAACTCATAGCAGAAACATTCATCCTCTTGACTCTAATCTAACCTGTGATGTTTTGAGGTGAGTCAACCACTTTGGTGCATATTTTTTCTATTAACTTGTACAAAAATGTTAGCATATAATTAACTTTGCCGTTACAGACAGAGACTAAGAAATTATTTATAAACTCCAAATTTCTTTCCATTCAGAGAACATTTATTATTAAGTAAACATTAAAATGGTTTCTTGGAAAATGTTTGTTTTATTCTGAATTTTTACCATGTAAAGAAAAAAACTGCTTTAAATTGTGGTAATAGTTGATATAATCACGATTTAAAGTAGTTTATTTTTCTTCATTTTGCTGTTATTGCATCAAATTGGTTTTCTTTGCAAAAATTCAGGCACAGAAAACTTAAAACCTGTAGCTCTACATTTGCATTCCAAGATTCTCATATATTTGGTTATTCTTTGTTTTTTTTTTTTTTTTTTTTTTTTTTTTTTTTTTTTTTTTTTTTTTGTCATTTTACAAAACCAGTTAATGTATCTTTGTACTTTTTTTTTCTTTAACATTTTATCGACTTAAGAGATTGGCTGAAAAATTCTCAACGTACTACCCAGAATCTGGCCACATTTCAGAATTTTTTTTTTTTGTAATCATTTCACCTCAAGCAAGTTGACCACTTGGGAATATACCAGGTGACGTGATGGCTATGCAAAAACCCTCAGAAAGTGTGTGAATCCACCTCTTCTCTTCCTCCAACTATGGATTAATTAGTAGAACTTGTAACAGAAAATCATGATTATCTCCTAAAAAAAAAATTCTTAAAATATAAAAATATTTCTGTCTTTAAATAACCTGCAAAAGGTTGATAAGAGATCAATCAATCAATTATAAAGAAGGAAACTATTCAAATTCAACAATGGCTTTTCTCTTTTCTAGAATTGCTTCGATGCATGTCTTCTTTTTTTGCCTTTGTCTTTAATTCGTTTCCAAAACCTGGGAAATTCTTTTCTAAAGCTAATTTTATTCTTCTTCTTTCAGATTTGTTTTGGAAAACTACAATGCCTTGTCTTGGTTGACGATGGACCCAGTAAAGAATGACCGTCGGTCATGTTTGCCCGTGCATTTTGTGATGTTGATGCAGATGTATCATGCAATTAATGCATATGTATGACATAGCATTAGCAGGAAGAGGAAGAAGCGGCCAAAAAAGAAACTCAGGAAAATTTGAACTACCCACATGGCGGTGGCAGCTGCTGTTGCTAATGAGGTTATGAAGCAGTACATGAGACAAATTTTTTTTTTTATTTTAAGTCTCACTGCAAGAGAGTAGTTATTATTGCTACTACCACTAACCCTCCTTCTGTCCCAGTGGCAGTAACAGCAGCAGCAGTACGGGGTGGAGAGCTGCTACCCTACAACACTGTCAGTCATATGATGATGAGACAGTTGCCAAGACCACCAACATCCAAACAACAGTGACACCCAGATACCAGTTACCGCCTCATCCTACCCAGATTATTTATTTATATCACAGGCTTTCTAGACTACTTGTCTCTGACCATTTTGATCTGCAGCTATTGTTGTTGTTAGCAGTGAGCATGTTCATATGGCAACAGCAGTAACACCTTTTTCTTCTTAATGAGATATAAAAGAAAAAATTAAACAAAACACCTGGCAACTTTAGAAAAAATACCTCCTACCCTATGTCGATTTTTTCCTTTTTTTGTAAAATAGATTATATCTTCTTAGTTTAGATGTCTACACTTCATAGACTTTTACTTTTCTTTATCATCATCATCATTATAAAGATTTTCTCATCGTCATCATTGTCATGATAAGGATTTTCTGTGGTTCAGCCTTCTTCCATTTTCCTCATTGTCCATTTCTACTTAGATTCTTCAATATGCTGCTTGCTCTGTCTCCAGCCTTTCTGTTTATTTTGTGTCATTTTCTCCTCATCAACAGTTGTCATTAGGGGAGGGGTTTTTCTTCTTATTTTTTTTCTTTCTTTTTTTTTTAATCGCTGATTTTCTGTATTAATCGAGTGATCACTTGAAACTTGCTTCATATGTTCTGTACCTTTCATTTGCTGCAAAGCAAAATCTGACAAAAACATGGAATTGGTGTCTTAATTCAGAATGAAACCATTCTCAGAATCACTTAGATTCCCACATATAAACTACTATGCCCACTCCCACATTGAATGTCACAATTTCATTGTTTTAACAGATTAGGTCACTGTTTCCCAAATACGTGAAAAGTGTATTTTAAAAAAAAAAAAATTTTTTTTTTTTATTGACTTTTCTTTTTCATAAATTTTCAAACATAAAAGTGAATTACAAAAATTTAAAGTAAAAGTTTTATCTGTGTTTTTGTTTGCGCGTGTGTGTGCGTGTAAAGGTGGGGAGGAAAAAAAAAGCTTTGTTTACAGATTGCTTTCCTGATCATTTTCCAGTCATGAAAACATTTGGCCATTTTAAAAAATATACAAAGGAATATACACCCATTTGTCTTGTTTTCCTTTGTACTGCATTTTGTTAATGTGCTGTCAAGTGTGTATGCATGTGTCTATATTTATAATTGTATGTATGTTTTTCATATTTATTTGTGCGTGTATCAAACCAGAGATGTAGAGGTTTTCCCTTATATATTTAACCCTCCCCTCACATTTTTTTTATTATTTTATTTTATTTTTATTTTTTATTTTTTTAATCCTTGTTAGTTGGCAGGGCTCTGTCTGGTTAATGTATGCTTGCTCTATCATCTTGACATCACCCTCATATTAATACTACTATTACTACTTGGAAGGGTGTTTTGTAGACCCCCCACACACACCATTTGTTGTGCTCTCTATGCAGTTGTCCGAGTATTAGATGAATATTGCCTTTATTTTTTCTTTTGCACATATGCAGTTGCATGCACATTACCTATATATGCAGTTCTAGGCAACAGGTTAGTCTAATATATATATATATATATATATAAAAACAATAAAAACATTTTAACTTGCTACACAAAAAATTTCATGTATCAGTTCTAAGATTGTACTTTGTCAGACAATGGTAGATAACTTCTACCATTGCCTAAAGAAGTACAATCTTAGTACTGAAACATGAAAGTTTTTGTGTAGCGATGTAACATGTTTTTATTGTAATTTATTATAATAAAAATATTATAATATTTTGCTCTACTTTGTATTGAGCACTTTTAAAAAAAAAAATAAATGCTACAAACTGGATTTTTACTCCATCTGTTCTTTCTCTCATATATAACTTATTGGTGTCTGTTTGACTGTTTCTTCAATTTGTGCCTTGTCTCTTGCCAAATCCTAAAAGCAGTTGGATGTGATTCTTTTCCCTCTTGGGAAGTGAGTCCCTCCATGCTCAGCCTGTCCAATTGCACCAATAAGTTAACTGTGGAGCTACTTTGTTCTTAACAAAAAAAATTTTAAAAATCCACTTGCCTCTTCTGGCTCTTACCTATTCAATATTCAATTAGATAACCAGGAGATGCTGGTTATTGGGACTGGCAAGTATACACTCAGTGACACTGGTCTCAGCTATGCAAAGTACCAGAGGGGCCATGTTTCACGACTCTTTGTAAAAACCTTTCATTAAACTCTCTTGTTTTTTTTTACCATTTCTGTGGAAATATTTATCAGAACTCTGCTACTCACTTGACCCTGATAAGCGTCTGAATTTTGTCATTCGTCTGCCTATTTGTAAGAGACATTTTGTACGTACTTGTAAATGGGGGGGAGGTGATTACTAAATCTACAGTAATTTCATTAGGTTAGATATCGGTTATCAATGCTTTACTCATTGCCATGGCAACAAGGTAAACTATAAAGTACCCACTGTATCAAATTGCACTTTGTGTGTGTCTCTCTCTCTATCTCACACACACACACACACACACACACACACACACACACACTTGCAACTACATTAATTTCAACCTGTTGAGTGCCTTTCTCTTGATTCAATTATTTTTTTTTAATCAGATTGCTTGACATAAAGGTTTTTGTTACTCACTAATCAACCAATACTACCAATTTAGGCTTGTTAATGTCTATCAATTAACACTGCCTTTGAATGATCTTTAGTGAGTTGCAATGACAAAATTTTCTAGTCTTTTAGTTTCAAGCTTTTACAAGTTCAATGAGACACATTTTGTTTACACTTTTGTCATTAACTGTTCAAAAGTTGTCACTGAGGGTAGAGAACTTTGGTGGTCTTGGAGCAGTTTTGTTATGCAATCCTTGAACTGGCTTACTTCATTGACGCGTTTCAAAGAAAAGAGAAAAAATTCTAGCAAGTGGTTAATGGCCAGTTCTAGTTGGTTTTGAAGAGTGAATTATCAACGGTAGTACCCCCCCCCCCAAACAAAAATCCACTCACCCACAATACGCCAGATTATTATTTTCATTTTTGTTGTTTCTGTTTTATAATTATTTTCTTTTTCTTTTTTTTTTTCTTTTTTTTTTTTTAATCAATAACTATTATGAATGAACTGTACAGGCCAAATCGTCAAATTTGAAAATAACTTTCTTTATCTCCAAATTAGAAATGAATTCAAGGGCGTGGTGAGGGCAGGGGGAGTTTGATATTGCTTGGCTGTGCTTTAAGTCAAATATGTTATGTGTTTTTGTTTGTTTGTTTGTTTTTTTGTTGTTTTTTTTTTCCCCTCTTTTTGTTGATGATATTGTTGTTGTTTTTTAGTTTGTGTTTGGATATGCAAATCTCAAATGAAAACCATTTTGTTTTTTTTTGTTTTTTTAAACCCTTGGGACTGAAGTAAGCCCTACCCCAGCTGCATCTCTCAGAAGTGCCAATGTACATGCAGACTAAATGTAGTTGCTACTTTCTGAGTATTGAGTATAATGTTCAGTGACCCAAGAAATAAACAATATATGCACACACACACACACAGTTTTTCATTCTCTTAACTCTGTTTAAGTATTGTGAAGGATTTAATCATACATTTTAGACTCATTAAATTTGAGACATTGTTTAAATTTGTGAATTTTCACTTTTGCATAAAATTTGCAAAACTTGAACATTTCTTTGAATTTGCATCCTCATTCGGAAATTCAAATTTCATCATCTTTGAAGTGTCGGGGTGATGGTCTAATTGGATGACTCAATGTCTTTGGACCCCAAACCTGCCTCATCTTCTCGTTTTTCATCTCTTTCACTCATTTACCTCCCATCATTCTTTTCTTTACCTTTTGTCTTAAAAGACAGCTGGAGGTTCAGCTGGTAGAGCAGCAGACACGGAACCACACATTTTAGGTTGAAATTGCCAGTTTTATATAGTGGTTGCTGGGGAGATATTTAAAAAAAAAAAAAAAAAATTCTCAAGCACCTCCTTCCCCTGCCCACTACTTCTGCAGTTTGAAGTCAAGGAAAAGTGTTTGTTCTGATCATGAACTGCAGCCTGAAACTTTATTCTTCTTTCTTTTCTATTACTTCCGCTAAAAGTTGCCATTTTCAGTCCCAAATTGTGCCAAAAAAAAAAAAAAATAAAAAAAAAATAAAAGAATATCCTTGCTGATCCCCAACCCTATGTTTTTGCTGCAGTTTACTTTCAAGATTAAAATGGTCTCCTTTCTCCTCACTGGCCTGTTATAGGGAGGAGGTTGGGTGTGGTTGCTGTTGTTTATTTGGGTGTTATGGTGGTGTTGTGAAGGAGTACAGTTAATCTCTGCCCCCTTTCCATGCCAAATGACCAGACGATATCAATTCTTTATTTGGCATTATTGGTAGACATCCTGTTTCTTCAGTCACTCGATTTTTTGATTGGTGTCACATTCTGACTTTTGATCTGGGTTTGGCTTGATATAAAAACAATTTTATTGAAAGAAAGAGTGGGGGATTCTGGAAGGAACAGAAAGTGATGCCAAATAGAAATGGACAAAAAAGAATTGTATTCAAGATGAAGACTTGGGTAAAGAAAAGAAAAACACCTCCAAGAACTTTTTTTTTCTTTTCACCTCCACACCACCACATCCACTATTCTTTACCCTGTAGATAGCATAGTAAGAAGAGAAAATGGGAAAGAGAGAGATAGTGTGTGTGAGTGAGTGCTATATATATATATATATATATATATATATATATCTATGTGTGGTGGGGAATGTGTTATGTGAGTACAACCCAGGTCTGCGTCGCCTGTCCTTCTCCTGCTGCTCTAAGTAGAGTAAAAATAATAATAAAAAAACAAAAAAAGATGCCCATAAAGCAAAGAAACTATCCACAGACTTTGGAGAAGCATATATATATATATATATATATATATATATATACACACACACAATCTGTTTTAATAATTTCATCCCCATGATTAACGATGATTGTACAGACATTGGTTGAATTTTAAATGAGAGAAAGAGAGAGAGAGAGACTCTTATACACAAAAAAAGACAACTTCCATTGTCAATTTATTAACCCTGCCTGGTCACAGCTATGATGGAAGGTGCTCTCAGTTAGGCTGAAAGTATTGCTGCACAAACTGTTTCTTTTTTTTTTTTTTTTTTTTTTTGTGAGGGAGGCAATTTGAATCTATTCCCCCACTTTACTCTTCACCTTTTGTTTGTTTGTTTATCGGCTGCACTCAAAAGAAAACTTTCTCCTCCCTCTTGGTGATCATTGTCGATGTTGTTGCCACCCCCTTCTCCTCCTACCTTACCTCAAATATGTTTAATTCTTTGCAAGTAAAGTTTTTTATTCTAAAAACCCTTCCCACCCACCCCCATACGATTTGTTCTGTATCATGACACTGTCTTTTTCTTTTTTTTTTTTTTTTTTTTAACTCTGCTAATGTTGGAAGCAATTTAATTTTTTGTAACCTGTGAATACAACTCCATCCCTCAAGGGGTGAGGTGGGAGGTCAAAAACAAATCCACAAAATTCTGCATATGTATGTGTAAGTAGACATGCACACACATTTATCCAAATTACCATGATCACACACATTCGAATGCACACGCACACACCCTCTGAAATTACAGTCATCTGAAATGCCGTGATCTCACGCTCACACACAATACCATGATCACACACCTTGTTGCTACTGAAGGTTACCACAGAAATGAAAATGCCTAGTATTTTTTTTTTTTTTTTAAGCAAGCTCTGGCTTGTATAAATACTATATATCGTTCCACCATTGTAAACTAACCATCATGGAAGAGATTATAATCAATGTCTTTCCTCTTGTTTATTGAGCTTATATAATTACAATATGGTTGAAATACAAAGAAAACTTTGTTCGGCTCTAACCACTGATTCCCTTAGAAACATTTCTTTGCTCAATGAAAGTCTTGAATGTATTTTTTATATTGTAAACAAAGTGGCCAATTTAATGTTGCCCAGTTCATCTGATTTGGCTACCAATTGGAAGTTTACATTGGAACCTTGTCTAATTGATCGAGAGTTGTCTACCCTTGCTTCTCTCCTCCTGCTGCTGCTTATAAAATTTCATTTCTTAATAAAGAGGTAAAAAAAAATCCTAGCACTCAACTGATCTCAGTTTTTAAAAATACAAAATAAATGAAATTATCTTTTTTATCATATCGTCAGTACAATAAACACTTGTTTTTTTTTTTCTTTAATTTTGATTATTTCCTTTCATCTTTTCTTTTCTACTTAATTGTTTACAGATCTCAGTCTCATCAAATTTTATTAATCTCACTTACATAATTGTAGCAGTTAAAAATGACAGCAATAAACTGAACCTGTCTGCTGTTATATCATATCATTTTGCATCAAATTCAAGCTTCTATTTTGACATTTGCTCCATATTCTTCTTTCTCTTTTATGTTAGTCAAAAGTTCACATCATTTATTTTTTTTTCTGATATTAGTTTTTTTCTTGTTCCTTCACCCGAACCCATACTCACTATACACATGAACAGACATTCTTTTTTTCTTCTTTCTCTCCTCTTAAGGTTGTTGTAGCAGCAGCAGTTCCCAACCAGCTAGGAAAAGAATATATTTGGGATCTCTCACTACAAAACTATCACCATACCCCCCCTCTCTCTCCCTCCCTCTCTCACCCTGGCTAGCCTTCATGAGAGAAGTGTTTTTTTTTTTTTTTTTCCAAGCAACAAGCATGTGCATGTACACACACAGACACAACTTCTTTATTTTTTTTTTTTTAAATCACACACACACACGCACACTGGATGAAGGTGGGGGTATGGAGCTTAAATTATTTATAAATGTTACCAGAATGTCTTCCTTATTAGAGGAGGACATTTTTTTTTTTTTTTTTTGTCATGTGTATTTATTTATTTTAATTATTATTTTTTTTTTTTTTATTTAGGGGTGGGGTCGAAAGGTTTGTGTGTTACATTGGCACATTACCACTTTTCTCCCCTCCTCTTTGTTAACAATTGTTTACCATTTTGACTGGGCAAACAATTTTACAATTTGCATAAAATTGTTGATTTACTTCTGGTTGGAACTTCAAATTAGGGCTTCCGTTTGCTTAGTTGGTCTTCTAACCACTACCTCCTACAGGGGCTAACGTTTCAAAATCTTGTGGGCCGACCATATTCTGTTTTTGCTGCTTTGTATCCCCCGTCTCCCCTTAGCGATTGGTGTAGATAAATTCATGATTTTAGGATATCCAATAATTGAAATGTTGATGATGCCCCTTTTAATAGGATTAAATCATCCTTAAGATATTTGAATAATTAGCTTTCCCACCCCCACACGTGTCTAACAAAGAGAGAATTTACCAAAAGTAATTTTTTTTTTTTTTTTTTTTTTTTTGTCAATAAATATCGTTATCACCTTATAAGTGAAATAACTTATGTTGTGTGCTGGCAGTGCATTTATTCTTTTAGGGCTGAAAGTAAAGAGGACATGGCATTTAAATTCTGTTGAATTTTTTTGATTGGTTCTTTGCCACCACCTCTTTCTTACCATACTCTCTCTCTCTCATAAACACAAATATGCAAATATGGTTACCAGAGTAAGCAAGTCTATTCAGATTACCAGAAAAAAAAAAACATTTATCTGTCCTGGGAATTAGAATTGGGGAATGGAGATAGGATGTAAATTCTTATTTATTTTTTATTTATTGCCTATATGGGTCTACTTGCTCTTACAGCAGAACCCCCCCTACCCCATCCTTCTTTATCAATTGCCCTTTCCTGTTCCCAGAATCAAAAGATTTTACTAAACAGACTCTTTGGTAATTGTTAAACATACCTGCCTCCAAAAACCTTCCCTCTAATTCTACCATTCTCTCTCTCTCTCTCTCTCAATGATGATGATGAAGACATTTCTAGTAATTAGCATTAACTGTCAAACCTCCTCAGTAATGTATTCTTTTGGAGGGTGGGGGTGACCAGAAACAAAAATAGAAGGGGGGAATCGTATTTTTTCAATTTTTTTTTTACACACACACACATAATTTCATTGCTGTGTCTGGTTGATACAATCTCTTGCCTCTCTAGGTTGTGTGATAGGCTTAAATCAATACCCTCAATTCATAGGGCTGCCTATACAAGACCTGTCCCCTTATTCAATCCATTACATAGCTGCAAAAACAGCCCCACACACACACACACAACTTCAGATATTCATTCTATAACATGTAAAAAAGGAGGAATATGATGTGTATCTGCCTATATTGCTAAGCATGTGTGTATTGTTTATACACACACACACACACATATATATATATATATATATATATATATATATATATATATATATATATTTGTATCTCATTTGAAGATGTTAATGGAGTTGGGTTATTTTTTTTATATTTTTTCAAGAAATAAAATTTCTGAATGTCCAAAGAAAGTTGGAAGTTATAATGGCAAAGAAATGTGTTTATGAGAAAAAAGAAAAACAAAAAGTGTATGCATATATATATATATATATATATATATATATATATATATATATACTTTTACAATACAAATCTAACTGAAATTGTTAATTGAAGCCCCAATCAGTCTACCAAGTACTACTACCAAGCCACCTAGTATTTAGTTGCAACAGTAGAAAAATTGTAGTTATAAACTTAGTAATGGTAGAGTTTGTTTTGGTAGACTTCATGCTGGACAGGTGTCGAGATTTACCATTTGCCTGATTCACCCCAATTCTCTTTCTTTCTCTCTCTCTCTCTCTCTCTCCCGGTCACAACAGCAGCAGCAGCTAGATGCGCAGCTTGTAATTTACCAATTGGGAAGGGTACTACATTCTTGTCTAAAATGATGCACGGCTCTAAACAAATGCTTATCTTGAATTACTTCCTTCCTGTTTGATTTTCTCCTGACACTGAGAGAATTAGTCTTACAGGATCGGATTATTGGTGACGGAGGTAGTGGGAGGAGGGACCTCTCCACTTCTTTCACCACCACCACCACCACCACCACCAATCTTTTGCTATTTAAATGGCAGAAGATATATCATGGCTTAGCTGATTCAGTAGAAAACATTAAGACCTTGGGCAAGTTTTTCACATCTGCTGTGATCAGTCATAA